TAAATCCTAAACTGCCACATAGAGACAAAAGCAATCTGAATCACCTCTTAAGATAGAGGGTTTTATTACAAGAGACTTTTTTCAACCATAGGCAAGAAATAATCCTGGCCGGTTAGTGAGTCTCTATCTAAGACATCAAATGTGACAAAAAAGCTTGGAAGATCATCAACAGACCTAAAGGGAGCCACAAAATTCTTAGCTAAAAGTTCACCCGTCAATAGCAAAATAAAGTAGACATAATTACTTCATCACTAGGTGGACAAAAGACTTAAAGGGAAAAATCTGAACAGTGAAACTACTGTAAGAAAACATGGAGGAACTTCTTAAGGAGTTTCCTGAGAAAACTCCAAAGTACAGGGACCAAAAGCAAAAGCAGCCAACACTCTACACAAAACCAAAAAACTTTGGTATAGCAATCAATCAACCATCAAAGTTAAAAGACAGCCTATAAGATAGAAGAAAATATGTGCAAACCATGCAGCTAACCAAAGTTAGGATTCATAGAACAGAAGAACTGAAAAAAAAACCCTCATTTTTTATGCTCATCTCAATTAATCATCAAGGACTTGCAAATAAAGCCCACAATAAAATGGCACATCACCCCAGTAAGAGTGGCTGTTCTCAAAAAAATTAACAATAGCAAGCCTGGTGAGGGTGTAGAAAAAAGTTATAGCACATCATTGACTGAAATATAAATTATTATAACCAAAAAAGTATGAAAGTTCCTCAAAAAATTTTAAAGCCATCACCCAGAAGTCCCATCACTGGGCACACACTGGAAAGATGGAATTGCCATGGCCAAGAGACACCCGCAGTCCTGTGTGCACCGCAACACTCCTCATAATAGCTGAGCAAGTAAAGCAAAATGAGCATCTATCAACTGATGAAATGGTAAAGGAACTGGGACAAATACACACAATGGAACGCTATTGGGACACAAAAAAATGAAATTGTCATTTGCATCAGCAAAAGGAACTAGCGATCACTATGTTAAATGAAGTAAGCCAGGCATTTATCTAAGTGCCAAAGGATCTCACTCCTAGGTGAAATCACATCAGTTGATTTCATAGAATCTGAAAGAGAAAGGTGATTATCAGAGAACAGGGAGAGGAGGAGGAAGAGGGGGATGGGCAGGAGTGGGGATGGTCCACGAGTGTTAAGTTAGACAGAAGAAGGCCTCTTGCACGCATAGTGCGGAGACTATAAATATGCTAAGCATACAAAGGTAGTGTATATTTCAGACAGCTACAAGAAAAAAATTTGAATGTTTTCACCATACACCAAAAAAAATGTTTGAGGCAATAAATATCTTTAATCTGATTTCAACATCATACATTGTATACTCGTACCAAAACACTAC